TAATAATGATGTCCGTGAGAATTATTTAAATTTGGACATTTCTTTAATAGAAGGTTTGGTGCAGTTGACTATTTTTGATAAAAGAAGATAATTTAATTTTCCCATTCTTGATCTACCCACACCTAATAGTGTTATTCTGTGTATCATGTTAAAAGGCATTATTATATTTCAACTAAAATGGTTCTTAATAGTATATAATAACTCTAATTTTTTAATGGAAACAGTGAGGAGAAAAAAAAAGAGTATGAAGGGCAAATACTATGGAAAAACCACCACTTTATCATGTGAAAATAAATTGTTCCAGAGTACAGTCACGTGTAGATAACGCTACAGCAATCCAGCGCTTCATCATGTGAAAATAAATTGTACCAGAGTAAAGTCATGTGTAGATAATGCTACAGAATCCAGCCCTTCATCATGTGAAAATAAATTGTACCAGAGTATAGTCATGTGTAGATAATGCTACAGGAATCCAGCCCTTTATCATGTGAAAATGACCTGCATTATATTATAGTCAACACTATAAAAGTACAGATAATTATAGTATATGCTGTAGTAGTCTTAATCCAGTCATGGCTCCCAGGGCAGAAATGGAACAAGACAAGCATGTAAAAAATCTTAAGTTTTGGCTGTTCAAGGATACTGCATGTTTAAGTAGGAGTTGTAACTAAGATTTGGAAGAGGGTGTGAAACTGGCACTGTTAATAACAGATGTGGCCAAGATAGAAAATCAAAACTCTCCAAAAGTGATTTTTTTTACTGTAAATGCTGTAACTTATAATGTAATATTCTTAAGACTGTATTGGCTTGTGTAAAAACTGAGGCCAAAAGTAACCGAACAATTAGGCTGAATTGTGGACAGTATTACAGGACATTTGGAACAATATTCCACAGTTATACATTGATTAACTGTATGGTAGCATGAAAAAAAGAGTGTACTGCCCTGTGTAAAGCATTATGCTTTTCTTTTGTGCTCTCTACGATAATGTGTTTTATCTTCTAACATTAGACTATTTAAATACTTAGAAATGTTTAGGATTATAGAAACAGTAAAAGAACAGTATAGCATTTGAGGACAAAATTTTAATAATAATTAAAAATTGGCATAAATTGTTTTTTGTTTTTAATATAAATACTGATAAGCATTTTCATTGAAATACACAAACATAATAATAATAATTTGGTAATTTGATGCATTCTTCTTATAAATACGCAAAGTAAAAACAAGTTAATATCTGATTACCACCACAACTTATCAAAAAACCTCTTATGCTGAACTGAAATAGTACTATTCTAAATTCATCTTTCATCAAGACTGTATGTAACAGTTAAAGAGAGAGAAACAAACATTTTATTGAACTTCAGGAAAAATGTGGCATTGTTATAAATCTCTCTCAACAACAATAAAAAAAAAAGGGGTGGGAAGTAAAACTTTACGTAATATCAATTATGATTGGAAACTGAAGATATTTATACACACTGTAGAAATAAAATCTGTTTTTAAAAGTCCATATCATCAATTAAAAGTCATTGGTTGTGTGTGTAAATTATTTTTATTATAATACTAATTTGATCATGTGCACATTTTTATGAACAAGACAAGATTCACATTTTCCATCTTTGGAAGTTAACTTGTTTTAAACTTAATGCATCAAGATATTGAAGCATATGAAACATACACACACACACATCGATGTTTTGAGAAAAAAACGTGTTACTTTACCGAAAGTTTAGTCTCTGGAATTATATCATAAAAAAAAAGATAAATATTAATTGTTCTATAACTCAAACTCACTTCCAAATTGAAATCTGCTTCAGGTATGATTCCCATACGTGACAGATCTGTCTCTCTACTCCTCCCAGCTGTAACTTTCACATGAGCTAAAACTTCAGCTTTCTCTTTCCTCTTTTGTTTTGTACGTTTCTGTATGTAATGGTTGTACAAGTTGGCTCCAAATATATCTGTGTTGATATTGTCACTGCAGATAAAAATCAAGATTATATCACTCTACCATTGCTCTTGAGTAGCCAATTAAGAACATGCATGTAAATTTTGTCTCCTCTGGAAAACTAAGTAAATGTCAGTGTTATTCTACATTATCTTTTTATTAATAAAGTAAGTGTATTTGTTGAAATTGACTGCATACCATTTTGCTATACTTACCATACAGTCATACTGACAATATTTATCATGCAAATATTGGAGGGATGAGTGCTGAACACACTGTGTAATTTGAGGACTTAATAATTACAAAGAACAAATGAATTTCAACATGTCTTATATAAACTTTTTTTAATCATCAGATTACATATACTTGAAGTCTATAAAACACTATCTGCTTTGGAAGCACAATGTAGAACTCAAATGATAGAGATTCAGTTAAAACATCTAGCTTTTATATATGCTGCACAGAAAGTGTCTGGTAATTTTCTTGAATGTTTCATCCAGTCAATCAAGATTACATTGGTAAAATACCCACATGGCATTCATTAGTTAATCATAAAAACAAAAGTCAAATATCAGTATATCCAAATCATGGCAGACTTCAAACACCCCATTTGCTTCAATAATTATACTTATGTCTTGAAAAATAATTTTTACCTATTTTGTTTTTACTATCTTAATAAATGTTTATGTACAACACAGTGGAATATATTTTAGTTACTCCCCAAACCAGATTAGCAATTTTTTTTTCACTAACTTAAAATGCAGAAAGTATACCTTGGAATCTTTTATGTAAACAACTTTTACTACAAATGTTGGTTTCAAAGTAATAATCTCCAAGCATTTACCTACCCAATAGCATATAATGACTTGATAGGACTAGTGATACCAATCTTCCTTGCTTCTTGCAGTAAACAGTGTTCGGCATGAAGGTAAGTGATCTCGCTCGGCTTACCCACAAGTGCCGTATAGATAACATCCTTACCAGTTATTTTCTATATAATGAAAAATATATGAGGCCCATGTTTTAGTTAATTAATGTTTGGCACATACATGATATTGTTGCTTAATTATATTTTGATTGTTTTCATAAACTGCTCTGTCAGTTATCCCTTCCTCATTCGATCTCTACATAATAAACTGAAGCTTAATGTTTAATTTTATCAAAAATAACTGGTTAGCTTACAGATCACACAGTGTAAGTTAGACTACAAATGGCACTAACATCTTAAATATTGCATCTACTCTCTGAAAATACCACAACTAGGCAACTTGACTTGTATATTTAAAACTTTCTAGAATAGTCATTCTCAAAGATTTTTGTTCAAAGACCACCTGATTTATTTTATCTTGGCAGACCACAGTTGGATCTATACACTATGCTACCATCTTTCTGTAATAATGCAACCTTTCCACAGACTATAGATTGAGAAGGTTTGATACATTTTTTCCAAGGTTTTCCAATATAACTCTCACCAGTCTACAGCAGGGCCAGGCAAACTGGGCAACTTCCCCGGGCTCAACTGCAATGGGGATGCAAAAGCCCCTTAAAAATTATCAATTGCATGAATACAATCTTTAGGATATGCCCACTAGTTTCTACACAATTCTTTCTTTAAATCCTATTTGCACATACATATACATACATGCCATTATGTCAGTAGTATAGTTGAAGTTGTGTGAAAATGTTGAGAATCTGGCAGGTAATGCGAATAAGAGAAAAAAGATTGAATAAAGAGGATGAAAAATACAAGAAATGTATAGAATGACAAATACTTATTCCACCCAGGAAGCCATTTTGGCTACGGCTGGTTCTGGTCTACAGGTCTGAAAATAACAAACTACTGCTACTTTAATACTCTCATTGACCAAGTCTAGTACCAATAATTTTTTTTTTTTTTACTTTTTAACATTTAGGCATTTACAGTTTTCCAATTATACAGTTTAATACATTGGCTTTTCTACAGTGTTTTCTTTACATATCTATTATTAATTATTGTAGATTTGATTTTATACTTCAAATTGTTTATGTTTTTATCAAAATCCTCTTCCTGGTTATTTGTGATGTACATTTTCTATCTTCTGATATTAATGTAGAATATTTCCAAAGCTTTTGTTTATTCTAAATATATGCTATTTTTTGAATAACACATACTCATGATAGTCATTTTAGTTTCCTTTGTTCCTTTGTCATTTTAAGGAGATAACACCTGTTCTGCCCAGGGTGGTTTGGCTATAATTCTGCATATTGTGCAAGAATGTCAACAGCAAGTATATTCCAATGGTAGGTCAAATGCTACTTTGAGATTATGATCTATCCTATGTTTGAATAAGAATGACTAGTTATGTGAAAAGCACTAGTTGTCTTGGGTAAATATGACATTTCCTGTTAAGTAACAAATGTTACATTTACACATTCATATTCTGAATCTAGAGTGGATTGGTTAGTGGGAATACATTGAGAAGAAAGAAAGCCAGTCTAATCAACTCACAAATCTAGTAACAAGCAATCATCCAGTGTCCATAAGCAAGAACACACACAAGTTTTTGTCTTTGAATTAATAAAGTGTTTTCAAATTATGTGGTTTTAATTTTAATACTGTTAACAAGCCATTTAGGATTTCATTTTGTAAAAGTATGTATAGGATATCCACCTTGTAAGTAAAAAAATAATTTCAAAACTTGTAATTATTTTACTATTAATTTTAAGCCTATGTCTTGGTTGTATATTTATTCTCAAAATATTTCTGATTGGTGCTTCTGTGGTCTGATAGAAGTTACATCTTTTTGGTTAACAGTTCATAAAACAAGTGCAAACAGCACCAATGTGATATTTCCAGGTAAAACTAATTTCCTCAATTAGTATTAGGTAGATCGGCTATATAATGGAAGATATGAAGGATATGCTATGAAGTAATGCTGAATTTAGCTAAGACGGAGTGTGAGCAAAGAAATTAAGAGAGTGGACATATGTAATGCAAAATATTCCACTGACAAAGATAAAAGATGAGAATGATGCATATGTTAATTTATCAGTAATATTATCTCTCGCACTTTGTATTCTTACCTTATAGAGGTTTTCAAGACAGACTAGAAATGCTCCATGACCAAACCTGCAGTAAAAGAATGATCTGCCTTTATTCAGATGGCTTTTAATTATAATAAATGCAAGGTAATGCATGTGGGATATCTGAATTATGGAAATAGCCTTAACATTGTTATGAATAAGAATCTTGGTGTTCTAGTTGATCAGTCTCTTATGCAGTCTAAACAATGTGGCATTATTAGTGGCTGGGCATATAGGTTTGTAGATTGTATCTACAGAAATACTGAATACAAGTCTAAAGAGGTTATAATTTCATTGCATATGTCACTAGTTAGGCTACATTTGGAGTACTGTGTTCAGTCTTGGGATCCATAACTTAAGAAGGACATTTAATTGTTGAAAATGGTTAATGGGAGGGCTACTAGTATGACACCTGGGATGGAGAGGTCATCTAAAAAGAACAGGTTAAGATCTCTGAAATTGTTTTCCTGGAAAGAAGAGTTAGAAAGGATCTGAGTAAGATCTTCAAGATTGTTAAGTGAATTAATAGAGTTGATGTATCATTTTTGTTCATGCTTAATGGTGATAATGGTAGGACAAGAGGACACAAATATAAATTTGGCAGGGAAGCAGTCATCTTCAGCTAAGACAGCTTTATTTTTCTAACAGGGTGGTTGGCTTTTGGAATGGACTGCCTTTAGATGTGCTGGATGCAATTAATTTAAGTGTGTTTAAGGAAAGGATTAATAAATATCTGAATGATAAGAACTGGCTTTGAGCATATTATTCATATTTTAAACTTTACTTTAGTGGATAGAATGACTCAGATGGACAACAGGCCCTTTTGTTATTCTAAAATTATATACATGTGTTTTCCATGATTTTTGTATTTGTCATGTTATGTACCGTAATCTACATTATATATATGCAAGGTTAGTTTTCCTTCTCTTACAGGTATATTAACAATGTTACACAAATGGCTAAATATAATCTCTGCTATAGAGCCAGCCAAACTCTTTTCATGAATAGCTGAACTATCAAATACTTTATCTACCTAAAAACCATGAGAAGCTGCTTCTTATTACTAAATCTTTCTTTGTGTGTGTGTGTGTGTTATTTTATTAATACAGCATGTGCTTGAAGACCAAGTTATTATGTCCAGCACATATTACAACTTAGTATCTTCACAGTACAGAATAATTTACAGACTTTTCAAACTAAACATCCACATTGACTGACATATTCCTTGTCTACAAGATGTTGGATTACATAACCTCTGGTTCTAAGAAATCTTTGTTTGTTTGGAATTAAGCACAAAGCTACACAATGGGCTATCTGTGCTCTGCTCACCACGGATATCGAAACCCGGTTTCTAGCGTTGTAAGTCCGCAGACATACCGCTGTGCCACTGGGGGGCTCTACGACAGCATCAGACAACAACAGCAAATAAATGTTCTCTTCCACTTTTTAAATCCTTCAAAAAAAAATAACTGGTCAATTGGACAAACAAGATCATAAGATAGTAACAGTGGAGATCATGACACTGTAAACATGAGCCAAATTATGATAAAGTTTGTTTTAGAGAAAAGTCATATTGGGCTATCTCCAGTGTTCACTGCAAGGAATTGAACCCTGGATTTTAGCACTGTAAGTCCATAAGCTTACCACTGTCCCATCAGCAGACATTAGGATAATGTTCATTATTATAGAAATAAAGGAAGACTGAAAGAAAACTTTTCCTAACTTAATAGTGTTTGATGAGTAAGAGTAGCTGGAAAGAAGTGAGACTATAGTGAGAGAAAAAAAACTATTAATTAATAAAATAAAAATTGTGTTGAACACAAGATTCTAAAAATTGAAAAATGAAAACAAGGTGAGTAATTATGGAAAATGAAAACAATGTTTTTAGTATCCTAACTATACGCCTATGGTCATGAAATAAAATTAACACGAGTGAGTGATTTATCCTTGGTCGGTTGTAATAATGGGAATGGACAGACAATTTTTACCTTAACATTTAATATTTATTATTTATGAAAAAATTGTTCTTAAATGATATGTTGAAAAGCAGAACAAAGTTCAACCTAAGCAAAATGTTTGTATATTTTTCCAGTAACACACTTGCACACTTGTTTTAAATTTATGCAATAAATTTTGTTGAAATTAAAAACATTAATCTCTCCAACTACACAAATCGGACTCCTGTATTATGATGATTTAATTTATGTAAATATAGTGATACTTTGATATGATTTGTTTAAAATTGGCAAATATATAGAAATACCTTAACATGCTCAATTGTATTACAAGTATACTTTTGGTTCTTTCATTATAACAACTGGAAGAACAGCAGTCCAAATCAATGAATTAAGCACTCTTCTTGTAAATAACAGCAGCATAAACTTTATGTGCACATACCAAAATATTTACAAGAGTAATTAATAATTACTGAATCTAGCTTTCTTACTAAGAACAAAAATTGTTTGCCGTATACAGAAGCACATCTGAAAACTGACTATGTACAATTTTTGAGATTTTTATAAACCACAACAATTGAGAATTATCTGTTCCAAGCTATTTTTAACAAAGCAACTGCAAGTTAAACATGTCAAGCTTTTCTCTCATTTAAGCTTAAATATTTAAAATCTAACTATGCAAATATTTAAAAAACAAATTATATAACCTGAGAAAATTATACTAAGATCTTTTCTTACAACAAAAGTATACCAAGTTTTCTTTGATGTAAATATGAAATTTGAGAACAATCTCAAACTTTCAGAAAAAGTGTATCATTTGAAACCAATAGCGACACACTTTTCAATGTTATCAATGTCAAGTTTTCTCCATATAATCAAGAGCTAATAATTAATTTATCCAAACATAAAATGTCTAGCACTGCCACTACTCTTAACCTTCAAATAAGCAGGAATATTTAAGACATAACCATTTAAAAAAGACTATTTTGAAAGTTCATGTGTTAAGTATTATTGTATAATCAAAGAACAAAATATATTTATCGAGACTAAGAAGTGATTGGTGATTTACATTTGATGCATATAATTTATAAATTTATACTGAAAGGTTAAACCTAAAGTCCAACAACTAACCTGGCTGTGCATGCCTCAGCCATCCACTGCAGGTCCATGTTACAAGCCAATACTGGAAGATGTGGATAGGGAGCTATTGGTAAAGACTCGCAAGGCAAACCATTTGACATCAGGACATCAAGGATCAGCTGCAGACTTGTTTCCCACCTCACAGGTTCTCCAAACAATACAACAGCTTCAACATAGTCAAAATAATAAATTCACATTTATTTGTTTGAGCTTCTTTAATTTCTCAAATTGTCACTTTTCTACTTAATGTGACACGTGTAGTTACCGAACAACTAAAAATGTCATCATTGTGCTCCACTAATAAAAATTGAAAAAAAGAAATGCTTTATGTCATTGTAACAAGAATAATACATCTATCAGTGATCAAATTTAACTTTTTTTTTGAAAATGCTATTTATATATATCTTACCATTATTGTCACTTATTCATCTGTAATGTGGACCTGCAGTGGATGGCTGACAAAAACAACAACTTGGCAATAAGTAGATGCTTAAAATTTGTTGAGGGGCATATTTTAGTAACCAAAAGTATCATCTAAATTTTGAAGATTATACAAAGTTTTGTAGTGTTTGGAAGATAGTGTGTATGTTATGTAGATTTAAAAAGATGTGTGCAGTTGTCTCAGATTGAAAAAAAAACATTTCTGGCCAATGTGAAGGAGAATGCATTTTGAACTGATTTTTTATTCTCATTCCATAACCTTAAGATTTTGTACCCTGAAACTATTGCAAATGAGGGCTTGTTTTGCTTATATTGACCATTAATTTGTAGTCATTTGACTGATTTCTACTCGCCAGACAAACTGTTATCCAACTGCCACAATATGAATCCATGCTGAGGACAGTGCTGTGTTAAGTTGCTTATTTTAGCCAGTGTTAGTAATTAAAGTCATGTGGGTCTATATAAATTGAAACAATATTTATATACTGCTTGTTAATACAAGTTATCATCAGTTTATGCATGTCGCTTTCAAGCCTACCTAAATCTGTACATATCTATATAATTATTATTACACTGCCTTTATTCCATAAAGACCTGGACTAATATTAGTAGCAATAAAACAATGTCCTAGTGCCTGTCAGAAAACTTACCGATATTGATTGACACTTGAAAGTTGGGGATCTAAGTTATATAATGCTTTGTTTACTGTCACTCACTTAGATAACATTTATTAGTACTTAAAATCAAGAAATAAATTTTGAAAATTGGCCTTTAAGTTTAAACAATGATAGTAGGGCTGATCACTCAGTGTTTTAAGGCCAATTAATCAGCATTAATATTTTTAATACTTAGTTATCCACCATTTATCTTATTGGCACATCCCTACATAAAATACATCTGTATTTCACCAGTATAATTAAATGATGTGAGGCTTATAAACCACTCAGTAAGCAATGTGATGAAACATTATTAGGTACGTAACTACACTTAGAAATTCAGAATTTAAATTTTTCATTACAATACTAATTCAATCTTTTCAAGTGAATAAAGAATAAGCAGCAAATGTTTTAGAAAATTTAAAAAATGTCATTCCTAAATGTTAATTTAACAGGATTTGTTTTAATTTCAGAAACATGAAACGTATAATTTAAACAGGATGAAATAATTTTGATTAAATATAATAGTTTAAAAATGTAATACTCAAGTGTTATTTTTAACAATGTGATTACTGATTAATTTCAGAAAAAAAGATTAAGATTATATTTACTTTGAATTTAACATTGTTAAAGTAATAGAAGTAATCTACCATATCTTTCAAATGAAGTCTGTAGCAATTATTTTTAAACCAAACCATTGACTTTTGTTCAACAAATAAATGAAATAATCTATTTGTTTAGTATATACTACTATAAGTAGGTCTAAAATTTTTTATTATTTACTACTGTCATGATATAAAAGACTGTTTAGCTTAGATATTATTGATTAATTTATTTTGTGAGTGAATATTTTATGATTGTTTAGTTTTGTTTATAATAAGAGTTAAAAGCAGATGAATGTTGGAAGTTGTGTTTATAATTCACTGATGTTGAGACTATCAAATGTTGCATGCAATACATTGACATCAAGAATATAGTGATCTCTAGAAGGCAGGCAGATGATTAAGTGATAAACATATAAATAATTTGAGATGAGCAGAAGCAGCAGACAGACAATAGCAGAATAAAGTCATGGTCAAGGAAAAATTTAGTGTGAAGTTAATTGCCGCAGAAAAGATAGGCCTAATGTTAAATATGTTTAGAGTAAAACATACAGTAGAAAATGAGATAAGAAGAATGATTAATTCCGTCAAAGCGTGGTTCTAAAGAAATTGAATCAGCCTAAGTGCACTTTGACAAAAGGAACAGAAGATATTTAAAAGAAAGAAGACCAAACGATTATGGTAACTCATGCCACAATTGTAAGTGAATTATACACAGAATACTAGTGCAACAGAAGTATGGAAAGGTAGTTCGGCTTGTCAACTGAAATTCTAAAGTAATTGAATAGGCCTAAGTGGACTTTTGACAAGCGGAAAACTATATATATAGTGTTTATAATATGCCTATAATCTCAATAGTGTAAAGAATTTGTTATACACATGTTTAACTTGTTCCAAATATATATATATATTATTTTGAAAACAAGTGGAGTGCATGCTGTTCATTCCTCATTGAATTTATCGCCAACAAGTCATAGTCACCTACTGTAGAAAAATCCTAAGCCCATCATCAACACAGTATATATTTATACTATTAAGAAGTACAAGTAAAAGCCTTTAATTGACAATTGTCGAACATAACAGAACTTTATATAACATTTGAAAATGATACATATTTTAAGCTGCAATATCTTTAACAAGCTTTATTCATATATTGCCTTAATAGCTTCGAAAAAAGGAATATGTGAAATCAGTTTGCCTAAATTAATTTATTTCTTGATAAAATACAACCGATACAGATACTGATAAATCGACACATCCCTAGTGTTATGCCATATGAAATTTAGACATACAGGGAGAAGGAACATAGCAGAACCACGTAATGATAAACTCAGAGAAAGAGCTATGAAAGCTCCTTTGAAAAATGATGACATTTAGTATAAATGCAATCAACAGTACCATTATTCCAAATGTCATGCACCTGTTGTTCCCTCTTAAGTTGACATGTGGTTTCTTGTGGCTTGGGGAGCAAAACACCCCATGGTACTAAACCAAGTTATGTTTTCCCAGATTAATTATCTCTCTATTATTTGTCATTTATAATACAATAAGTGTTTAGAGCTTATATATGCCAAATACGAAACAATATTTGCTTCAGCAAAGATTTTTTGAAGAGTATTAGGTTTTTATGAGGGTAATTTCTTATTTTTTATTAGATTGAAGGCAAGAGAGTTAGGCAGATGATGGCTGACTGTCCCAGTGATAGTGAAGCTGGAGATGATGGTGAAAGTGAAAATGATCAACTTGAAGACAGTCAGATCACAGTTAAGTTTACATCCAAACCTTTCAGTGTCAAACAACAGGATTAGATACAGAAGATTCCGAGTAAGCAGTTAGGTTAGATTAAATGTAAGACATTTTCATTGATGTTGGCCAACAAATGATGTTTTTAGTTCAAAATAATTCATAGGAAGATGTTTAGATAAAAAATAATAATTTTACTTTTTTAATCATGTATGTTTTTGTAAATAAAGTGATATCAATTATCAATATCTGATATTTTCCATTACTCCTTTATTAACATTACCAAAGCATTAAAAAATGAGCAATATGCTATTGAGTCATTCATAAGATGTTTACCTTAAATGCACACATAGATAGGATAGCAATCTAATAAAACTTAATATGTTTTTTTGGTGTGGGATGTGGTACAATTCCATGGTACAAAGGTTGTTCCATACAGCAAGGGTACAAAAGCAGGATTAAAGCTCAGCAATTATTAGGAATCCTTAATGTTATCTTTTTTTAAGAGTTAAGTTCAAACAAGGTTAAGATAGGTTTTTAATAACTTTCAAAAATATCATAACAACTACTTATAAAGATTTGAAAGCAAGCTTACCTTCTATTCTAGGAAAATATCGTTCAAATGCACAAGGCTACAAAAAATTGAACAATGTTAGGAACCTGTTTTTTTAATTAAGAAGATAGTCAAAATACAAAACATGCCTTAAATTTCTTTTAATGATAATACACTATTAATTTATAGCTCATATTTTAGTATTTATGTCTTTACTTAGATATAAAAAAATTAACATTTGATGTTGATCTGAACACATTTAAGATATTAATACTATTCAACTGTCAAACTATTTCTATCTAATATGTACTGTTTTCTTATCACATTTCTCCATCTTCCTTGCATGTTTTTTGATGTTGATACAATAAATTTTTACACCAACTTGGCAAATTTCAACAAAATGTTTAAGTTTTATAATGTGTGTACAAAGATGATGTTTTAATTTATAGTTTCTATTTCCATTATCATTAGTTTTTGGATGTTAGGTACGTATTCAGCTTTGAAGAATTTTCAGATAGGAGTCTAGTTTCTATTACTAGGTCTCTTTGGTGGCAAGAGGGAAAATCTAAAATGTTTCAAAACCAAAGTTTAGTAAAGAACATACGGTGGCCAAGTTTAGCTTTAAGTTCTGGAACAATTATGATTTGAAAATTAATATATTTTTGCTATCATATGTAGCACTCTATGGAAAAATAAATTTACAGTTGTCTTCATGATTTTATATTTATGACAAGCACATTAATATTAAACATGCTAGTAACACAATAAGATAAATATAATACAAAAAAATGTCTTATACCAAAAAAGCATACAACCAAGTCACTGCAAAATATACACACATACAAACAAGACAAGAATGTTACTAAAATAGGCTTTGACTCTGAACATTTGAATAACTGAAAGAAGCAAACCTTTATAAATGTTTTAACTCATAATATAACAAAACGGGTAAATTCTACTCAATTTCGATAATACTCGTAAGAAAAAATTACTCAAGGCACCCTTACAAAAAAATAAAAAAGTAGATTATCCTTTATATAAACCTTATGATCCTTTGTTTATTTTTGATGGTGAAAGACTACAGTTTGGAATAGGTGCATAATTTGTGTTTAACAGAATTAGCTTAGTTAGAAAGCCAGATAAATTATGATAGTTTGGGACATTCTATTCTTGTAACTGATGTTTTATATGTTCAAAAGTGGTTATTTGAAAAGGTACATTAATTTGTTTTGGACAATAAACTTAAAAAAACAAAATGACACTCGGTAATTACACCTGTAAGTGCAAAGTTTGCATATCTCACATGTGAAGAATGTGCAGGATATAAGAAACTGCTAACGTGTTTCCTCTGTGATCTATTGTTTTTCACAGATGATTAAACTGCTTCCATGATTTACGCCAGACAATAAAATCATAAAATTAAAAAAAAAAAAAAAGATGTGGAAAGGTTAACAACTGAAACTGAGAAGTAATTTGAAAATCTCAAATTAATTATACATTCAAAGAAGAACAACAAAAAAGGTATTGTCCATTTTATTTAATGTTTTATAGCTTTTAATTTCACTTTACATTGATGATTTTATTACAGTTAGTGTTAGGGTAGAGAAAACAAGAGATAAAATAAATCTTTATCAAACAAAAGCTTTTGATATTCATGTAGAACGTTCTAGAGGTTATGCAAATGAAATATGAAAATCATAAAATAAAAAGAGGTATTTTTATTCTTAATATGAAAATCACCTTTCACACAGACTGACTGAATAAAGGCTTCATAAATTCACAGATAAATCTTTAGTAAAAATACTTTATTAAAATATCTAGCTTTTTTGGTTACTAAAAACTTGCCAAATTTAGTGAAGATACACTTAATACATCCAGAGTTATGGTATGTATAGTTTCGTGGTGGGATAAATCGACCTTATCTTCGTATGGAAACAATTAACCCTTTCTATACAAGAACTGTCTTTTTGACCAACCTTGCAAGCACTATGAAACCATGAAACTATACATACTATAACTTTTAATGTACTAAGTGTATCTTTATAAAATTTTGGCAAGCTTTTAGCAAATATTACAAGTCTTTTGTACACAAATAACCATATTTTTTTAATTAAACTTTCTTACTAAAGATTTGTTTGGGAATTTATATAGTTAAGAGTCTGACTCAGACTCCAGTTAGTCTGATTGCAAGGTGATTTTAATGTTAAGATTAAAAATATTTTTCTTCATCTTACAGTTTCCAAATTTCAGTTGCACAACTTATAACCTCTTAAACAAATATCAAAAGTTTTTTCTGTACAACTTTATGTTTTATCTGTTATTTTCTCTTCCCTAACACTGTATGGGTTTGGTCCATTTGACTTATCTAGTTATCATTTGACAACAAAAATTTATTTCTAGAATGACTGCAGACTGTTAAATAAATTACAAATATTTATTCTAACCTGCCTCAGGCTCGTATTAGTTTACATCTGTTTGTATTTTATTTTATTACTCTTTGAACTGTATTTAACTATTAAACCTCTATAACAAAGCTATCAATTGTCCAGCAAGTGCATAGCTCAAATTATTGTAAACAAGGTATTAAGTTATGCAACACATGGGCAGCTTGCATGCATACCCCACTGGGAAATTCTTTATTTAATGTTTTTCACTAATATTATTCTTAGCTAATAAATACCTACTTTTTACATTTCAGCTATCTTTATATAAAAAAAAGAAATATACATAAAAAAAAGAAACTTAGTACTTATCTGGCCTCATGTTTTTGTTCTCAGCACCCAAAAAAATCTTAACCCTAACTTTTTTTGCAACAATGGTAGTGGTACATAAAAGTTATTTATTTATTTCAAGTATGCAGCTAAGAACACAAAATATTAACATGCAAAAAAATACCATAACCTGAAACTATTGTAATTTAACTGGCTTTCTAATTAAACTATAAGTGGTCCAGTTGGTCTCAATGATAGTAACAATAAATGTGGAAGATGAGTAACTGAAAACCTATTGTTAGAATGAGCCAGCCTTATAAGGAAATGAGTAAAATGAAATTTCTTTCTTTTGGTTAGGAATAATCCAATACCATATGCCACAGAGAATTTATGATATTTTGTGAAAGTTAGGATTTAGTAGAAGGGCATGGCATGCACATTTGACTTTGTGGTTTGTATCTCCATAAAGCAAGAAGGTTGAAGGTTATAAGTAGAGGCTATGTCTTTGCTACATCTGTACTATAAATGTGTAATTTATGCTAAACTGAAAACATCATAATGAAGTAGTACGAATAACCTAAAATTGGCAATTTAGAACAAGCAAGTGTCACGTAATACAGAGAAATGCAGAGTGAGAATTTATTTAAATATTTCCTTTTGAAAAGTTACTTTCTTAACTCTGTTTCATATCAAATTTATTGAAAAACAATGATAATAAAGTATTTTAACTAAATTTTGGTTAACTCTATAAGAAGGTCATGATGTGTGCATTTTGATTTATTTAAATATTTCCTTTTGATATTACGAAATTAAAACTTATATAATAATAAAAGTTAATTTATTAACTCTGTTTCAATATCAAATTTATTAAAAAAAACAATGATAAAGAATTTTAACTATATTTTAGTTTTAACTCTGTAAGAATGTCATGATATGTGCATTTTGACCTATCTACATCCAAAGGATTAGTTGTTGTTTTTTTTAAATCTACAATGTGTTATGACATTGTTTTTAAATGTGCTTGAAACTTTTATCAAATATTCACAGCTTACCACATGAATCCTTCTTTTATGATCAACAGCATCTAACGTAGGAAAGCAGTTCCTCAACTGATCTACGGTTGTCACTTTCGTAAATCCCAAACTGTAGAAGAATTATTTAGCAAATTTTATTACAATATAAAATAACTACAAAGAACTTGTATATATATATCTCAGGTCTCTAAAGTAGATCTTCAGCTTTTTTATTTTCTATAAAGATAACTTTCCTTTTTAAAAACGTTATAAATTTACTACAAAAACATTATAAAGGTACCAAGTGATTTGTCTGCACTAGCAAACAAACACTGCTCATAAGAAATAAAACTGCATGATAAAATACATGTTGTTTAATGCTGTTTGGTAGGGTATGAGCTTACTAAAATTTAGGTACAAGAGCTATTGATATATTAACAATGGGAATGTATTAAATGTCATAAGCACGTTCATCTAAGTAAAAGTTACTCGTCATCAGGCAAGCAACAAATATTCTCAATAACAGATACAGCTGTTTTACAGTGGGTGTTGTTCTGTGTTATATGTGGAAAGGTTGTACAGGGATATACAAATAATAAGATAGCTTAACAATTTATTAAAATTTCTCTTTGTATTTGGAAAAGGCATATAAAGCACAATATTGATGGTACTTATTAAAAATTAAACATATGAAGCATAAGAGAGATACAATGTCAGTAATTCATTTTTATAATTTTTTATCCCTGTACTATTGCTATATTACACACATTTTATATATCTCTCAACAAAAAAGATTATACTTTCAAACTTACTAAAACAAAGAAAAAACATATTTTAACAAAAATATAACCGATTTCATTGGTTACTATCCCTCTCCTTCCGGGTCATGGGTGAAAGGCCATGTCATCACATTTGTTGACTCACATTCAAAATTTTATTGAACTACTATTTCATGAATTTATATCAATAAGTTTGGTATAAAACTGTAGATTATAATTCAAATTTTAATACTATACATTACTGAATTTCATAATTTAAAAGTAAGTGTTAAAAACACAGACAAACATCCATTTTTGTGTGTCACATGGTATGTTGAATGCAGCACTGTTTCAAATTAGATGTTTGTGATGTCAAAATACTAAGTCTATAG